TGGTATTGATTATGATGAGACATTTGCCCCTGTAGCAAAGATGAATTCAATTTGGGTTTTGTTATCATTAGCCGCAAACCTTGACTGGGAATTGCATCAACTTGATGTAAAAAATGCTTTCTTAAATGGTGATCTGGAGGATGGGGTTTATATGGTTCAGCCACCAGGCTTTTGTGCAAAAGGAAGTGAGAATAAGGTGTGCAAATTGAGAAAGTCTCTCTATGGCCCAAAACAATCTCCCAGAGCATGGTTCAACAGATTTCATATGCCAGTTCACCAGGTAGGATTCAAACAATTTCAATCTGATCACACTCTCTTTGTTAAAAGGTGTCAGGAACAAGTTGCAGTGTTGATAGTGTATGTGGATGATATCATCATTACAAGGAATTGGAGCTCTTAAATACAAAGGTTGAAGGAGTTCTTGGCCTCCCAATTTGAGGTTAAAGATCTAGGTCCCCTAAAGTACTTTCTTGGGATTGAGGTTGCCCGCTCAAAAAGGGGTGTCTTCATCTCTCAAAGTCAAAGAAAGTACATCCTAGATCTGTTGCAAGACACAGGCAAGCTAGGTGCAAAACCAGTAGACACCCCTATGGATGTTGATCATAATTTGGGTGATTGTGGTGGTTAGACCTGTTCATGGGCCGGGCCGGGCTTTTCACTCTATATTAACAAATTTTTCTAAGGCCCGAGCCCGAGCCTGGCCTGACCATCGGGCCTACAACTTGGACCCGAGCCCGGCCCTCATAAAAAGCCCGAAGCCCGGGCCCGGGCCCGAGCCCTAAATTTAGCCCATGTTGTTACTATTGCTGAAGCGGCTGAATAGAGATAGAGAGAGAGAAATTATAAAGAAAAAATAAAAAATGTATATATTAAATTATAAATATATATATATTAATAAATATTATATTATTTATATATTTTATATAATATATAAAATACATATTATGTATTTTATAAAATATATAATATTGAGTCGGGTCGGGCCGGGCTTTTTTGACAAATTCCGAGCCCGGCCCAAAACACAGTCGGGCTTACTGTGTTAGGCCCGAGGTCAGACCCGTGGGCCTAATTACATGACCAAGCCCGAACGGGGTGCGGGCCGGGCCGGGCCATCGGGCTACCCGGCCCATGAACAGGTCTAGTGATGGTGAACCTCTAAAGGATGTGAAGTAATTTCAAAGACTAGTAGGAAGATTGCTTTACTTGTCCATGGCATGCTCGAACATAGCTCATCCGGTTGGTGTTCTAAGTCAGTTTATGCATTCCCCTAAGATACCACATATGGAGGCTGCAAAAAGAATTCTTAGGTACTTGAAGAAGTATCTAGGTACCAGCTTGCTATTTCATAAGCACAACCATCTGAAAGTGGAAGTCTATACAGATGTTGATTGGGCATGTGTTGTGGATGACAGGAAACCTACAAGTGGGTACTACACTTTTATAAGAGGAAACCTAGTGACATGGAAGAGTAAAAAACAAAATGTGGTTGCAAGATCTAGTGTTGAAGCTGAGTATAAGGCTATGGCACATGGGGTGGCTGAAGCACTTTGGTTGAAGAATTTACTAGGAGAGCTTGGGTTCCTAGTTAATAGCCCCATGTCTCTCTACTATGATAATAAGGCAGCCATAAACATTGCTACTAATCCTGTCCTACACGGTAGGACAAAACACATTGAAGTGGACAAGCACTTCATAAGAGAGAAATTAGAAAAGGGTGAAATCTGCACTCCTTATGTTAACTCCAAGGAGCAGCTAGCTGATGTTCTCACAAAGGGACTTCCATACTTGTAACATAATGAACTATGTGACAAGCTGGGCATGATAGATATATTCAGCCCAACTTGCGGGCGAGTGTTGTTAGAATAATTTGTAAATTGTTTCTGCTGTTACAGTTTATGTTGTCATTCTTAGAGTGTTGTCAGCTTGTTTACTACCTTTCTATTATTGTTTTATTAGGGTGTGCCACCAGGGGCAAGCATCTAATTCACCATCTTTTATTTTTCATCTCATTAATATAAATAGAAGGCTGGGCGCCGCCAGCCAAAAGTTTTTGGCTCCCAAAAAGACGTTCTTTCTTCCTCTTCTCTTCTCTTCTCTTCTTCTTCCTTCCTTTTCTTCTTCCTAGAAGAAAACAATATTCAAGATTAAGCCCCGCTAGGAAATCAAACACCTTATTCTTTTCTACTAGCTTTTGGTAAGTAGCAACATCCTTGGTACTCTCCCAATGGTCAATCTTCCGCCACAAGGTTTATCTAAGCCAGGTCATCACTATGTAGTTCTCCTCCACCCACTGGGAAGAGTTGGTCTCAAGTTTATTCTCTTCACCAGTTATATTCCCCAAATTTCCATGAGCACCAATTGCTATCTTGGATGATTGTGACCACTCCAAATAATTTGTACCATCCAACTTAACTGTAGTGACGGTACTTGCCCAAAAAGGATCACTAGCACTACCTGCACCTAGTCCCAGGTAACTAGTAGATTTGTGTTCTACTCCACTACCCTCCATAGTTCCCAAAACAACTTAAAACTTCAACTGTAAACAAGAAAACATCTCTAGAAACAGATCGGTCCCTTTTGGAAACCTCAAAAAAAAAACTTCTAAAACAAAAAACCTTTACCCGAAGATATTTTTGTCTTCCTAAAAGTTGGTAGAACCAAGAGAAGAGGCAGCCGCTCTCTCCGGAGACCTTAGAAAACTCCAAAAATTGAATTGCCCCTTCAAAAAACTTCAAGGAATCCAAAAATAACTTGAGTGCCTCTTCCTAGATCAAAAATAAAGAATCTTTAGTTCAATCAGGATTCTTCCTTCTCCAATTCTTACTAATTTCAATGATCAACCCAATATCAGAAACATAGGGTTCTAGATCCACCAAAAATCCAAGAACTGGGCCCTTTAAAGTCTTCATCAGCTCTCTATCTCATTATGCAATCGAATGATCTAGGACTGCACGAGAGAATCCCAAGAGTCCTTAGAAATTGCTCTAATAAGTAGAAAATTCAGAAAAAGTAAACTGATTTATAACAGAAATAAAAGGAAAAGAAGAAGAAAGGTTTCTTAGAGAAAAGAGAAAAGAATGAAAGAAAAGAGATGGGAGAAGCCAATAATCAGTCTGGCCGCCCCACTCATTAGTTTATATATTCACTAATTATAAAAAGGTATAATGTCTAATATGCCCTTAATATGGTGGCTGCTGTCAATAACATGAACTGCACTTAAGAAACACTAGACTGATGGGCCTTGGGCCCAATAACACTAATTCAAGAACCTAAAACCTCAACAGTACATATATAATAGGCATTATATTATATATTATGGGGATAAGGTAAGAAACCAGAGATTCTGATTCAAGGCTGTATGACTCATTCCACTCTCTCCGCCCCCAAATTCTACTATATTTCCAACTTTTTCTCAGGTTGAAAATCGGGATTTCTAACCACACTGCATCAGGTAGAAGTGATTCTCAAGTGGTGGTGTGATGGATGAGAGCGAGGAGATGGTCTTTGGATTCATAGACATTATATTACAGAGGCTAGACCATTAGCAGCCATAGAAAATACTAGATCAGGAGACCTGCTACTGCTAATAACTTAAGCCAATTTCTTGGCTACAGGAAGGGTTGCTACAAGAAAGTCGTCTTTTGGGTTTTCTAATACCAGATTAAGATGCCATTTTCTTTTTGGGGTGTATGGGGAGTATAGTATGATGGTCCTAGGGGTTTATGCTCCCTTCTGGTTCCTTTGTATTTCCCCTTCTTTTTCTTTCTTAATAAAATTTCTTATTATTGTTATCAATCAAAAGAATTGCCCACCATCTAAACAATAAGATGGGGCCTTCACATTACAGACATGAAATCCATGATATTAAAGAGATGGCAAGGTTGTTGGGAGTGACATGCAGGTGGACTCCACATTCAGCCAATGGTATGTTCGATATGTTAGCTAGACAGGGATTAGGGAGGAATCAAATGTATTGGGGACTGATTTCCTATGGGGGACATTTGTAAAAAGCAAAAATTCAGGAAAAATGAAAACAATGAATGGGTGTTAAATGCTTGCCCGAACAAAGGGGTGCTTATGCACACTAATGCATGTAAAGAATTCCTTTATTCATAATCAATGAAGTCATTGCTGATCAAAAAATAAAAAAACAATTATTCACTTGGAACTAGCCCCATATCATAACCATCAAAACCTTAGTCAATACAACCTTTCCCTTTGGTGTTAATCCCAGTGCAGATTCTGATGGGTCATAGTCTTGGGGTTTGTGCACTAATATCACTTATAGAACTCACTATATTTGTCTGCCATATTTCATTTAAAAACCAGTGTTTTAAAACTAACACGGACAATTCAATATGCCATCAAGTCAAGTGAATTCAGTCAAATTTTTCCAATTCGACTTGCATACATGGTTGAGTCAGACTATACTCGGCCAAATTTCAAGTCCATTCATGTAGTTCTATAACTATGTAGAAAATATCTACTCACACGCCACTACTATGATAGTATGATGAGACAATATATTGTGGATTTTAGTTGTCTCCTACCCTCTCCTTTATACATCTGTACACTTCAATCAATTAATACAGATACCTTTTGTTGCTGATCTCCTCCCTTCCCCCCTCCCCCCACACACATAAACAAAGAAAAGACTCTGACTATCCCTCTACCCTGTAGTACAACCAACCTTGTTTCCCATGTCATTTTCCTCTTTATCTTGAATACATTCTCATCTCAATCTTTTTCCACTCCAGAAAGTACAATAGTGAGTCAAAAGAGTTAGGCAAACAGAAATATACTGAGGAGACCTTTCGGTCAGAAAGAATTGTCATGCAGACCAAAATAAAAATGTCTATACAATTTGTGATTAAGGAGATAGTGAAAGAGAAGCTTTCAGGGGAAACTTAATAACCATTCAATATAATGAGGGTAAGAAAATTATTCGAGAAAAAGAAATTATGTTAAAAACATGGAAAACTGAAAGCAGAATCACTTACCTCTAAAGATAAATTCTTAAACCAGTCCTTCAGACTTTCACCTTCCATCTTCCATAATGATGCCTACCCAGGAAAGAAAAAGGAAAAAAGGAAATGTACAGTCATGCAGTCATAGTGGAGTATGGAAAAAAATAGTGCCAAACAGATAAGGTATAGCAATTGTCGGCCCTGTAAATGTGCCATAGTGAAAGCCGGACAAGAAAATCAGAAGAGATTTTTGGAAACTCTGAAGGAATCAATTGGCAGTGTTGTATGGACCATTCTAAATGGTTAAGATGCTTGTACGTAGATCAGTTTCTGGTACTGGCACTCCAGATTCTTTTTCTTATTTTTTTCCTTTTTTTCTGCCTTTTTCTTTGCTTGCTTATTTGATATAAATTAACAACGAGAATGAGAGTTCCAATTTTCTCTATAGCAAGTTTCCAGGCAACAAGACATACATGTGAATATGTTATCCTTCTCAAAGGCACATGGGTATATGGAAATTGGACCAAGAATGACAAATTTTAGTCAAGTCTTTTTTACAAAATATCTAGCAAATCCTATGGTCCATGGTTTTCCTTGGAAGGAAATTTGGCTGCCACATATCCAGCCAAAGTTGGATTCTTAGGTGGTCTGTTGCGGTTGGTAAATATCTTACTAGGAACCAACTAATAAGGAGGGGAATAGTGCTTGATTCATCAGAGTGTTTGATGTGTAACCTGTATGAGAGTCAGTAGATTATTTGTTTGTGCACTATAAGGTTGCTGGACTCTTATTCAGTCACTTCTGCAAACTGCTCCAGGTTAGTTGTTTGTCAGACAAGAAGAATGCATTCCCTCATCACCTGTTTTTTTTTTTTTTTGATTGGTATGGAGTGCCTGGATTTTAGTGGCTCTCCTGGAAGATGTATATTTCCTGGCTGTAGATGATCCATACATGTAATCAATGTTTTAAGACCCGGACCAGACTGGATGGTTGGACCGTTAGACCAGGGAACGGGAGACCATTCGGGTTTTTTAGATCCCCAGGTTTCAAATTTCTGAAAAACCGGAAACCATTGAAGACCGGCCGGGTTTTGACGATTCAACTGGTTTTAACATACATATATATAAAAAGGCAAGATTTGAACCCTCGACAATTGAGGTTAATTCCAACAAATTAACCATTCTGCCAATGCATTAAGACGTGTAATCTATAATTGGACCAAATTGAGTAATGGTCCTCTGCACTTCATCAACTAAACCGCTAACAATCCTATTTGAACACATTTTAAAAAGGAAATACAAGAAAAGGCGAAGAGATTTCGCCTTCTAGAAAGAACAACCTCTTACAAGAGCACAACTATGGGATAAAGAAACAAAATCACCAATCAAAAAGATAATCATTAACAAAATCTAAGGTAGACCAAAAATCAGATTCACATCTTCAAACTTGGGGTGCACCATAAGCCACTCCAACATTAATAAGCATATACAGCCAAAATCCTCTTATTATCGTGATGCTTCCATTCAAAGAATCTTCTATTTCTCACCTTCTAAATGCGTCATAATATTTTTGAGAGAAGGCAAAATATAGAATTTCATTAATAAAACCCCTGTACAACAAGTGGCTGTACAAAGGAAGTTACCAAAAAAAACTCTCCCAATTTCTATAACAGATAGCATTGACCCCTGTTTGTTTGCAAAAAGAGAATCATATACAATAAATGAGATATGAGCTCTTCCTTGAAATGCTTATGAACAGCTAACCACGAATGCATTTTTCCTATAATTTTCTGCACCACTGAATCTGCCAAGCAATCCTTGTTTTAGAAAATCCTCCAATTCCATTCCTGTCATATACCCCAAAACACAGCAGCTGGCAATGTCATCCACTGCCCTTCTTGCTTAAACCATCCACCCTCCACCCCATCAAAAAGTCCACAACTGAAGCTGGTCAGAAAGTTCTCACAGCAAAGTCACAAACACAGCTAACATCTTGCTCCAAATGTAAAAGGCAAATCTGCAATGAAGGAGAAGATGGTCCACAGACTCAACACAGCCATCACAAAAGACACAATTAGCATTGTCCAAGATCATTCCTAGTGAGCAGATGATCCCCAGAAACAACATTTTGTGGCAAGTGCATGGACTGCATACCTGAACAGAAATTTGACTAGAGAAAGCTTGGTGAGCTCTAGATAGATGACTTCAAACAGACCAGACAGAGTATATACCATTCTCTTCACAAACCCATGTTCTTTTATCATCTCTATGATAATCAACTTGAATGCCATAAAGAAGCTGCAACAATTCTGTTGTGGGCCCAATTTCCCAATCATTCACATTCCTTCTAAACTGGGGCACCGATACTATACCACCATTCTGAACTGGCATGCAGCTTGCCACATTAGCATTTTTATCAGAGGCTATATCGAAAATTTCCAGAAACCTTTCCATTAGCAGCCTGTCACCACACCAGCAATCCTTCCAAAATTTGATTTTCTTCCTGTTTCCTACCTTTACTGAAAATACTCTGTACTTACTCAATATCCTTCTAAACAGAACAACCATAAAATTGAGCAATTGCTCCAGGCTCCTACCCCATATTTTGCCTGATTGCCCTCTTCCATAATCCACCCTGCTGCTCCTAATCATAACATTACTTGGAAATAGAGCAATAAACTACTCTGAGGGTAATTTGCCCGACTACCCTCTTCCACTCCAATTCCACACTATCTTTCCTTCTACCTGTTTGAGCCACTTTTGACCATTTCCTTACTATCTTATTTACTGAGAGTGAGAATATTCAAAAGAGTTCCAATGTTTTTACCCAATGTGTGGCTCTAACCTTTATGCTTTCTATCAGCTCCTCCAAAGACCTGTAGTTGTCATTGAAAATTCTTTGGTTTCTTTCTTCCCAAATAGTCCAAACCATTACAACACTTATTGCCCTCCACAAAGTTCTCCATCACTTTTTTGGCTAACCTAGGAAGCTGGGATTGAATAGGCTTTTCACATCTTGAGGGGGAACATAAAGCACCTCACATTTACAAAGGCATTGATGCATTTCCCTCCCCATAACCCTTCTTTTTAGTTAGGATACAGTATTTTCCTGTTTCCCAAATGTGGTCCCCCAAAATAAATGATCCCTGCTGACCTGACCCCTTGTCTTTGCAATGCATCAGACATCCCATTAGCTGTTCTGCTTATCCAATGGAATGCGGTACCCGGTTCCCTTGCTAACCAATTGCTTTTCTGTTGCTCTTCAACCACGCAATCATGTGGGAGTCACCTTCCACTACCAAATTGCTGTAGTTTAATGTTTTACCAAGATTCAAGCTTTGCAATAGTGCAGTTAATTCTGCCTTTACTAAGTTACCTTGACCAACTTAGACAACTTCAAAGACTGTTCCACCATTGAGAGCCCTGAAACACCATGTGACAGCTAAACAGCTCTTCTAAAAATATGAATAGTAAAGTTTTGATTTCCTATGTGAATAGAAATCATCAAGTATAGACCCACAAGTCCCATTATATTTCTTGGGGAGCATTGTCATGAGCCCAGGGAATCTTGTAATTGGCAGGAATGTTCCTAATCAATCAGAGATAGACATCTATGTTACCCAGATACAGCAGGACACAACTGGATATGGAACCCTTGTACAGGTATCCAGGTATCATAGATAACCATTGTAAGGCATAGTCATTAATTGAGTCAATTCATAAAATAGATGGTTTACTGTACTAGGGAGCTAGGTCTCTATGAATGGTATGTTAATTGTCATTGAGGTGGATCAAGGGGATCATATTATGTAAGCCAACAGCCTAACACAAAAACTACAGTGCTAAGAAAGTGTTGCACTAAAAATGTTCTTTTCACCATAAAGCTCTTTCCAGAACCTATTCTCCCAAGCCCTATCTCTTGTATATAATGTAAAGACCATTGTTCGTACTTTATAAAAATCAACAAAAAAAGTTACAAAAACAAAACCATAATATGAATTCATCCTGGCTTTGTAGAGTTGGGTCAAGATAGAGCATATTCATCCTGGGGGGAAAATGGTTGCATGCCAAATTTTGTCTCAGAAATGCCAAAACTCAACGGAAAAAATGTACACAGGTGCACAGAAAAGATTTGGAGGATTAGGTGTTACATATGTATGATATTTGAGAATGATCAGGTTATAAGCTCATCTCATACCCAAGCCCCAGAAAAGTACTCGGATAATTCTTGCATAACTGTAGAAGCATGATTTGCACTCTCTTTCCAGAGAGCTCCCTTGTCTTCCAAAAGCTCTGTATAGAGTTCTTTCACCTCAAACTCAAACTGGAGGAAAAAAAAGAAAAGGAATATTTTTTTAATCAAAAGAAGACAAATGCAAATATCTTCCGAAGATATGGCATTCCATTATAGATAAGCATATAATTAACATGGAAAGGAATAATCACCCTGGAGATGTTTAACAGAAACAGTAATGGGGTATCTTCTTCTAACTGATGAGCAGTTCCCAGGGAAATAACTATTTCCCTTACCTTTTTATCATTGCTCTGCAAATCAAGAAAACATACAATTAGCAATTTAAGAAAGAAACCACTTTAGAAACAGACATCCAACAAGAAAATAAGTTGTTCTAGAGGCTATGCACCTATACAGCATATAGCGAAATCAACATTCAGGGTAAAAGCATTCTAATACTAAATTCTGAAGTAATGAAACTTGCACAGCCATCTTGCTGGTTTTTTTTTTTTTTGATAAATGGTATGAACTTTATTAGAGCATAATTAAGTATCACAAGATTAGTCCAGAATAATTCAGACTTATGCACCCCCTGTTTTGTAAAAAAATCATCCATCCCGTTAGCTGACCTCCTATCCCATTGGACTGAAATTGTCATATCTCTGACCAACCACTTAAATCTTTTCATATATTCTTTGTATTTCCAAATTACAGTTTCAGGTTCCTTCAACCACCCTATTACCAGTTTAGAGTCACCTTCAATTAACAAGAAAAATTCACTACTAGGTTGTAAATAGGTAGCTTGATCCTATTCGGTTCTAGGTTTGAAGTATGAAGAGAAGAAGGGAAAGAGGAGAAGAAGAAGAAGAAGAAGAAGAAGAAGAAGAAGAAGAAGAAGGGTTAGGCCAAAAGAGAAAAAGTCACTCCCTCTAGCCGACCCGCTTTGTATTTATAATGAATAAGTTGAGTTACAAAAGACAGTATTGTCCCTTACAAGTGATGGGACACAACTTAAACTTGAATAAAACAGACCTTTCACTTCTAACTAGATAAACCAAAATACCCCTATACTATCGACTCTAACACTCCCCCTCAAGCTAGGGAGTATATGTCATATAGTCCCAGCTTGTCACATATGTAATCTACTCAGCCTCGAGACAGCCCCTTTGTAAAGAGACTGCCAATTGGTTTCCTAAGCTCACATGAGATGTAGTTATCACTCCACTAATCACTTTTTCTCTTACAAAGTGGCAATCAACTTCAATATGCTTTGTTCTTTCATGGAAGACTGGACTAGAAGAGATGTGTACAGCAGCTTGATTATCACAGTATAAMCTCATGGGTCTATCAACTGAAAACCCCATCTCTTGTAACAAATTCTTTAACCATACTAGTTCACATGTAGTATGAGCCATAGCCCTGCACTCAGCTTCTGCACTGCTCCTTGCCACTACTGTTTGTTTCTTGCTCTTCCAAGTTACCAGATTGCCACCAAGGAAGGTACAATATCCTGTAGTTGATTCCCTGTCTGACACAGAACCAGCCCAATCAGCATTTGTATACCCTTTTATCTCAAGAGTTCCTCCACTTTTGTATAGTAGACCACGACCTGGAGCACCCTTCAGATACCTAACAATTCTTAGAACTGCTTCCCAATGAGGAATCCGAGAATGTTGCATAAACTGACTCACCATACTTACAGCAAATGATATATCTAGCCGTGTGATAGTCAGATAGTTCAATTTTCCCACCAACCTCTTGTACCTTCCAGGATCATCAAACTCTTCACCTGCATCAACATTTAACTTAGCATTTGGTTCCATAGGTGTCTCGGCTGGTTTGGCACCTAACAGCCTTGTTTCTTCAAGTAGGTCAAGGACATATTTCCTTTAACATAAGTTAATTCCATGCCTTGACCTTGCAACTTTTATTCCCAGGAAGTACTTCAGCTTACCCAGATCTTTCGTGTTAAAGTGATCCTATAGGAAGTTCTTCAACCTGTCAATCCCATTATTGTCACTACCAATTATGACAATATCGTCCACATACACCACTAGCAAGATTTTCCCATCTTTTGAATCATGGTTGAACACGGAATGATCTACCTGACACTGTATCATTCCAAAGTTCTTCACTACTTTACTGAATCTACCAAACCACGTACATGGAGATTGTTTCAACCCATAAATTGCCTTTTTAAGTCTACAAACCTTACCATCCTCCCCCTGATCAACAAACCCTAGTGGTTGCTCTATATATACCTCATCAATTAAATCCCCATGCAGGAAGGCATTCTTGATGTCAAGTTGCAAGAGAGGCCAGTCATACATTGTTGCTAATGAAATCAATACCCGAACTGAGCCAATTTTAGCCATAGGAGAAAATGTCTCCATATAGTCCACACCATACAACTGAGAATAGCCCTTGGCCACTAACCTAGCATTTAATCGTTCTACACTGCCATCTGGAAGATACTTCACTGTGTAGACCCACTTACATCCAACAACATGCTTACCAGGAGGGAGAGTAGTAAGTTCCCATGTGTGATTGTGTTGTAAAATAGACAATTCCTCTTCCATTGCTTATCGCCACCCTGGAGAGGTAAGAGCTCCCTGGACAGTTTTGGGAGTGGAAACAGAGAATAGCAAGGATAAAAAATGGCGATGGGAAGCAGAAAGGTGAGCAACTGAAACATAATGAGAAATAGGATGAGATGTACAACTACGTTTACCTTTCCGCAATGCAATAAGAAGATCAAGGTCCGAAGGAGGAGGTGCAACCACAGGATCTGTCAATGAGGACTGAACTGGAGGAGGGGCCGGTGCTCTTCTGTGAGTATACATTTGTCGGATTGGTGGCCTCTCAGTAGTAACCTGTACAGGAGAGGGAGGGGAAGGAATGGGAACCACGTGAGGGGGATCCGCAACTGGAACAGGAACCACGGAAAGGGGGTCCTCAACTGGAACAAGAAGTGGAACCACGGGAGAAGGAGAAGGGACCTTAGTACTCGAGAAAAATGGGACTGATTCAAAGAAAATAACATCCAAACACACAAATGACTTATGAGAGTTAGGGTTAGAGCACTTATACCCTTTGTGAGTCCTGAAGTATCCAAGGAAGATGCATTTAGTAGCACGTGCATTTAACTTGTCTAAACCAAGCCCTAGATTTTGAACAAAACAAACACACCCAAAAACTCTCGGGGTAAGAGGAAACGGAGACAAAGTGGGAAACAAAACTAAGAAAGGGGATTGACTTCCAATGATGGACATGGGCATCCGATTGATGAGGAAACATGATGTTAGGACAACATCACTCTTACAACGCTTTGGGACATTCATATTAAGCATAATGGACTGAGCAATTTCAAGTAGGTGTCGGTTTTTCCATTCAGCCACACCGTTCTGTTGTGGGGTGTAGAAACAAGAAGTTTGATGAATTATCCGATAGTGCTCTAAGTATTGCTGAAATGGTGTTGAGGTGTACTCTTATGCACCCCCTATTTTGTAAAAAAATCATTCATCCCGTTAGCTGACCTCCTATCCCATTGGACTGAAATTGTCATATCTCTAACCAGCCACTTAAATCTTTTCATATAATCTTTGTATTTCCAAATTACAGTTTCAAGTTCCTTCAACCACCCTATTTCCAGTTTAAAGTCACCTTCAATTAACAAGAAAAATTCTCTACTAGGTAAATGGCTCTGGAGGTGGACTAATGAAAGGGGAAGATTGTGGCAAGAGGTGATTGGTAGTATCCATGGTTCTGCAGGCAATGGTTGGGATGTTGGGGTATCGTCAAGGGCTACTTTGGCTTCTCCTTGGAAATCTATTTGTGGAGTGACTCCTCAGTTCCTAAGCCAAATCAGATATGATGTTTGCTCTGGAGATAAGGTTTTTTTTGGGAGGACCTTTGGATTGGTAATTCAATCCTAAAAGATTTGTTCCCATCTTTGTTTTCTCTTTCTTTGTTTAAAAAAGAACCTGTCTCACTTTGCTTCCCTTTCTGAGTTGACTGGGTTAAGCTGGAACTTAGGTTTAAGAAGGAATTAAAGGGATCTTGAATCAGAAAGGGCAACCTTGTTGTTACAAATTCTTGATTCTGCTGCCCTGGATTCCACACCCCAAAGGTCTTTTTTTCTTGTGCCTCCTTTTTCTCTTTCTTGTGTTCAAACCCAAACTCTCTTCCTTGCCCTGCTGATGAAATCTGGTCTAAACCTATTCCTCCCAAGGTTGGGGCTTTGTACTGGGAAGTTTTCCATGGGAAAATAAACACTTTGGATGTTTTGCAAAAAAGAAGACCTTTTATGTGCCTGCCCCCTAACTGGTGTACCTTGTGTAAAGCAAGTGGAGAAAACCGCTACCATCTTCCGATATCCTACCCTTTTGTTGCTAGTCTCTAGGAAAGGATTTTTGAACTTCTTGGTCACAGGTAGAGCTTGCCTACTCAGATTAGAAGTCTCTTTGAACCAACGACCTTCAGTTGGCCAAAGAGAAGGGGTAAAATTCTGTGGAGATGTATCATGGCTGCATTGATTTGGACGGTGTGGGAGGAAAGGAATGGCAGAGTATTCAATGATAAAGAAAGAAATAAGGAAGCAGTTCTGGATTGCATCTTGCATAGAGCTTCAATGTGGGCCAAGTCTCTAAAGTTATTTTCCAATTTCTCCTTTGATGATATGTGGAGAAATTTGGAAGTTGTAGTTAGAAGTTCTGCTACAAGGATTAAACCTGCTGTGGGCTGGAAACCACCAGATGAAGGATTCTTCAAACTGAACTTTGATGGCAGCAGTCTAGGGAACCCAGGCCCGGCTGGTAATAAGGGGAATTTTTAGAAACTATGAAGGTCATGTTATTGCTGTGTTCTTAGGTCCAGTTGGAGAAGGGGACTCGGTTTTTGCAGACTTCCAAGCTGTCCTGCAAGGAGTAAAAATTGCAAGAGAATTAAATCTTGCTGGTCAGTTTTCTCAACCTAACCTACTAAATATCATATAATAACAAGTTACATTTATTTTCTCAAACTTAGCCATGTCATGCATGACTTCACATTCACATGTAAGACAATATTGTCTTTGAAACAATTCTATTACACATCTCTTAGTTCCAAATCTTGTATGTTGTTTTAATAATATTAATTTCAATGTGCAACAACTTATCTAGATTCCTTCTCTATAATAAATTAGATTACTTAACAAACCTACTTTATAAAAATATAAGATACTAACAAACATGTTGTCATTGGTGTTCTATACTTTGTTCTTGACAAGGAGCTTACAGATAAATGGAGCAACAGCCAGCGGAATGAAACATTGCAATTTCTAACAAAGGAAAGAAGAGACTGGAAGTTATTCAACACATAGCCCCTGCTTAGTACACCATCTGAGAGAAGTGAACTTAACTCAGACATGAGATCCTTAACCTGAAAATCAGCCAGTGTTAATAATAGATTTAAGATGTGGAACCTTGGAAAGAAATAAGAGACAAGGAAAAACGCTGCCAATCATGGACAAATACTGATTAATACACTTAAATTATGAATGAAGGGGTTGAATATTCATCTCATCATTGAAGCAAGCAGGATGCAAGAGGCATGTCAAAATTTCAGTAGAATGATTACCTCGGATGGCAAATAAATTGACTTGATAATATTTAGAGAAGTATTTTATACGAACCAATAGAATATTTGGAGAACAGTAAAACAGCTCTATAGAGTACACATTTCTAAAATGCCTCACAGTTATGGAAACAGTAACACCAACCTTTGCACAATGAAGATGACAGAGATCACGAATAAATGATGAGGAAAGACATAAAGACAGTGATGTTTTTGCAGCTTTATATGCATCCCATGACAATGACAAATCCACTATAAAATACATAAACAGTGGAACCACCCAGGAATCTTTAAAGAACCGATCTACAATTTCCCGCATCACAATTCCATTATGAAGAAACTCTGGAGAATAGAATAACAGAACATAAAGCCATCCTGCCTGTGAAGACAATGCCACAGTCCGGTGTTCAGGATCAGGATAGTGGCGGACCCTATTATACAAATCACAATCTCTCAGAAGACTAATAATGGAATCCACAACCTGTTTAGGGAAAGGAAATTTCATAAGAAGTTCTTCAGGATTCTGCACTAAGACCATGGTAGAGCTTGAAGGAGAATAATGAATTTGACGATGTCTAACTGGTTTCAACGGGTGCATACGAGATAGCAAACAAATTTGTTGAATATTAGGAGCATTGAAACAACAATCGTAACGGACATGTGCAACAAGCAGCTTTTCCCGTAAGAAGCCACCCATGTGATGTTCCAGAAGCAGAAGTATACACCCAAACAGAGCTAACGATTCTGTGAGCAACTGGCGTCCCTTCTCATTCTCTATTACTCTCTCCAGGGCACTTTGTGGATATGCTCCTTCCTGTGGAAACAAAAGCACTATGGTATAGAGCAATAGGAGGGGGAGAGAGAGAGGGGAGAGCTCCACATCAACAGTAACCGAACCTGTATTTCGTCTAGGTATTTGAGTAACCCCTGGTGGTAAATCACAATGCCATTCGCCAGAAGAAAAAACCTGTGCATAAACTCAGAACAAGACTCGCGAAGCTGATCTTCGAGCTCCTCCAGTTCTGCATTTCCAACAATTCTCGACTCAAACTCATCCGGAGAATCAAAATACCTAGAAAAAGGAATAACCTACACACTTCAGAGCTAGCAAGAACTATTGAGTTCTAACAACAAATCGCACAATGTTAGTACATTATAATTCAATCCATAGGTGGCTTGGATATCTTGACGATTAAAGGTAAAGAAACTAATTTCAAGGTCGCATTCGACGGAGCCCAGGAGAATTCCATAATTAACTCCAAAATCCAAATATTTGAAACATCGACTAGAAAGAAGAAAAGGGCATGAAATGTTGCAAATTGACTAAACTGCTCGAGCGACCTATTCGATCACATACATTATATATGTTTTTCACTAGAAATTAAGCTAAACTGATAAAACCCCAACTCAGGATCCGGTGAACGACTAGATGACAAAATTTATATATTCAATAACTAACCTAAGATCGAAGAGCACGGGATCATAGCGGCGATCGCGAAATTCATTAGGGATTCGGCCAGATAAGAGTAAAACTTCCGAAATTAAGGACTGAGCTCTACTGGCAAAGTTGAGAAGCTCAGGAAATGAAACTCCTGAATCACCTTGCTTCCATGCTCCGTCGTCGTCTCTTGAGGAGTCCATGTCCGAACGTTAGCCCGCGAAAGAGTTCTGGTTACTGCTTTTGAGTTTGGGCTAATTTAAGTACGGGTACACTGAAATATTTGACAAATACTTAAATATCCCTGAAACTTAAAAAGGGCAAATTGTATTCTTACTATTTAATTTAAATATTAGGTAAATTTCTTAAACTACCCATATGGTTTAGTTAATTGACTACCCTTACTTACTGTTTGAAAATTGATCATTACTATTTCTAACAATTGACTAAGTGTACGAAAAAATTAAAAATGCCCGTTATACTCCTATACAAAATTACATTTTTATCCTTGTTTTTAAATTAACTCAATCCCTCTCAAATACTCGCCCTATCTATCAAAGGAAAGAGAAGACAGGAGCGCCATCCCGACGGCTTGCCATCGCCATCTCCACCAACGACAATCACTACAAATAACGAACGGCGGAGGTCCGAAGGAAATCCAATGGAGGTCGAYGGTGGGTTTTTTATCCCTGTTCTTAACACCCCTTTTTGTTTAAACCCTAAACAAAATGGAGATGAGTTTTTTTGTTTTTTATTGAAGGTTTTTTTTTGTTTTTCACTGAAGGAATCTTTAGTGTCTGATTGAAATACAGTGTTATTTTTTCGCTTTTGCAAGGTTTTTTCGCTTTTAGAGGAGGGACAGTCGTTTGGTCACATCTCATCTCTTATGGAAAGAGGTGAATAAAGGGAGGCGGAAGGTTGAGGAGGGAGGGAAGGAGGAAGAATAGGAGGAAGGAGGGCAATCTGGAGCGACATCAAACCTCTTGTGCAAAGAGGTGAACAGAGGTCAACGATATAGCTATTTTGGGAAGTGGGAAGAAAGGAGGAAGTGGACTTGTAGATGTTCAATGAAATGCCAGCCTAGTGTAGCTATGCCAGTGCACTCGCACACGCTCGCGCACGCCCGTGCACACCCAGCCTGATGCAGCCTGCACACCCCCGCTCACCCGAGCACCCTTCTAATACCACAAAGGTTTTTTGCCCATGTGGTGGTGGGGAGTGTGTACTTGTCGTGGCGCGGAATGGGAAGGCTAAGAATGTTGGGCGGGAGTTCTATGGTTGTCACTACTACGTAGGTTATACAAAACATTAGTTGTTGTTGTAATTTGTTAACGTTTCATGTAACACAATTTTTTGGTTATTGTTGTAGTTTGACAGTGATAGAAGATGTAATTTCTTTTGTTGTAAGGATGAGATAAGGTGTTGTCCATGTGGAAATGGGGCTTGCATGGTCTTCATATCTAAACGGCCCGCTACACAAGGGAGACGATTTTGGGTTTGCGCAAAGCCCCAAGTAAAATTATTCAATCTTAGTTATTTGTCTGTGCAAAGTTTGTTAAATATTCAATCGCTTAAAGCACACTATTTTTTGTAGGATGCAGGTGGGTGTAAGTTATTTGCATGGATACCAAGGAAACCACAAGTCCAACAAAGTATAACCATCAAAGGAGATGTGGCAGGACCTTCTAAAGACCCACTAGATGTGGTTGAAGCAGTTGTCTAGTCAGAGAAGGATAAATTCAATACAATGTCTGAATTTTGTGATAAGTTGTTGGATCGTATAACAAATATGAGAATCAAAGATGTATAATCTGATTTTGGCCTGATTGTGACTTAATTTGCATACCTTTCGTCTTAAGATTTTCAAATCAAGGGGAAGAAATATTCAATGTTCAAAACCGATAATAGAATTATATAAAATAAAAATACTAAAAGCATTACTAAATTATATATAGATAGAGCACATATATTCTTAATAAAATATCTAGCTATAATTGATCCTATATAACCAATTACAGAAGTGGCATTAAGCATGCCTCTACACTCTCTGTACAAAGAATGACGATGACCCAACTAGTTCAGTCACCATCACCCCTGTGTTTGAGGATGCAGCAGGGGTTTCAACTTTTAACCTGTGGAATGAAGGGCAGCCTCCCTTTCCTCTCCGTGTGGTAGTAATGAATCGCATTAATTGAATTCTTGGGTGCATCTATGTAACCACTAGTCCCCTAACTAGATAATTTTATTTTTTTTTAGATGACACATAGATGGTGATGGTGAGAGAATCCAGCTAGCTAGGAACCTTGCAGGAATGAACTGAACACGAAATATGAGGGATTGTGTAGATAAACATGCATCCTACTATTTTAGTTGACTCAATGAGCCGTCGATAAATAATTAAATTAATTTCAAAATAACATAAAAGGAGAATGATTCATTTGTAGCCACCATTCAAAAAGATTCAATGTTTCTCGAACTCCAAAAACAATTTCCTTCTCAGTTTGAAAAATTACTTTCCAGGTGTGTATGAGAAAATTATCAGCACATGGTGGAACAATATTATCCTTTCTATTTTCTCTTTTTAAAGATATAATGTTCATGATCTCACTCACCTGGAAAATAAAAGAACACATGTAAATATGTTTATCTAGGTAATTATATTCATCATGCTAAATAACAAAAAAGGGGGTAAATTGTTGAAATCTCCTCTTAAGTTTTCAACTATTAAACAATTCCAATATTATATCACATTCCTTTAGCATATAATACATCAAATGCCACATCTGAAGAGAATTTAAAAGACAACATAGGGGTGAGCTTATATTTTCAAAATGAAAATTAGAACTGACGTAGACCATAATCTTGAATTGATGCCCTTTGATACTGGAAACAAATGAGTTATGGTGAGGGCAGAAACCAGGAGGTGTGATGTTCTTGTTGAATTTGTACATATTTCCATCATATATATCACTGTCTATAAACCTTTCTGAAAGTCAGTTCCATCATATATATCGGTTCCATCAAATTTAGTTGGTCTATACAAAAAATTCAATAATATTGAATGTCACTCAATATGGTTGTGAGTATCTCAATTCTTGGCTGCTCTGACCTTCAACTTATAAAAATTCAAGTGATATTGCTAAGTCCATATGTTATAGTATCGAAATGAAATTGGATATAATTAGAATATACTATAACAATCTACAACATTAGCAATGTTACCTGACTGTTTGATTGGCCAATATGTGAATGTTGAAACATTCCACTGCCACCACTCCTGATGCCACCCCTCCTCGGAACATCAGATGATCTCCCTCTTGTAGCACTAGATGCTCTTCCTGCTGGGGATCCAGCCTTAGATGTTGGTGGAATAGGTGTTGCTATAGATGAAGAAGCCATCCCCATGGTGCCATGCACTGGGTGGGTAATTAAACCCCCCCTCATGATATACGAGAGTTTCCTTCTAACCATCCGGCCTGTTTGAGCTTGTTCCGGAGTAGGCACATCAACTTACAAGGAATAGTTAAATATTATTATTAAAGTGAGAATGCTAACTATTAGTGTGTTCAAATATTTAAACAATGATACATGTGCATTAGTATTGTTGCCATTGAGAGGAGGAGCACGACAATTCCTTCTATTGTGCCCAATTCCACCACAGATAGAGCATCTTATTGTCTTACGTTCCAGTGGGCCATGGTGGGATGGGCTTGCCTCGTCTTCTTCCCTTCTCCTACTAACTGGAGGTCAACCTGGTTTTCTCCTCATTGTTGGAGGTCTGACTGGATGGTGGTCAACTGGTGCCCAATACTTCTGCCCAGGTAGTGCATGTATAAGGTGGCTATACACTCTTGATTATGTGGACTTGTGAAAGGCCACATCACACAACTCCTCCACTGTACCTTGAGTGTATGTTAAAACCTCAAGTGCATGACAGCACGAGATGCCACTGATGCCCCATACTCTACAGGTGCAGGTCTTAGCATCCATCATAGTCACATTATCTACCAAACCACTCCCTCTTGTTTGGTACTCATAATGTCTAGAATAGAAAACCCTAACTGACCTGCAAGTGCAATTAACATGAGTGGGGAACGTACAATTGACTCAAGTAGTGAAAAAGATAAAATCTATATAAATGAATATGCTTTTTAACCAGTAATCACTTGGCCTCTCTCCTCCTTCTACTGACAATTGATTCCACCCTTGGCATTAGCACCGATGCCTATGCATTAACAACCTCATGCCTCTCAAATAGTTTTTGCATCAGCATCTTTCTTACATCTTCTAGCATTTCTACGATTGGCAAAGACCTGGACTCCCCAATCCAAGAATTTAATGACTCAGTCCAGTTGTTTGTGATGTCATCCGATTTAACAATTGGGTCAAACCCATGCTTGGACCATGTTGTAGGGGGGATCTTACATAGCCAATCATATGCTTCTTTAGAATAGCTCTTCACAATTTCCATACAGTGAGCAAAGTCAGTTTGAGTGTATGACTTTCCAGCAACTCATAGAGCATCCCTTAATGCTTTTCCCTTGAACAATTGCTTGAAATTGCTATACAAATGCCGCATGCAAAAATGATGATTTGCACCGGGCATGCAAATCACAACCCCATCAACTATACCCTGCATCACCAATTAGTAGGATTGTTAGTAATAGCAAAACATAAAGAAAGAATGAATTCAAAGATAATAGTTGTATACATAATAAATCAAAGAAAAAAAAACTCAAATATAACACACATACCTTATGCCTATCTGACATAAAATTCCACCTGTGTGGGTCATCAATACACAATGCATCCCAAAGCTCAACCAACAACCACAACCAACTTTCTTTGTTATCGGCTTCCACAAAGAATATGCAATGGGGTATATGCCATTATTCCCATCTAGGCCTACAACCGATAGAATTACCTATCCAGTTGCACCAGTCCTAGTGTGACAACCATCCAACCCAACAATTATTCTACATCCCTCCAAGAAGCCATTATTGCAAGCTGCAAGGCAGATGAACACTCTCTTGAATGTGCCATATGTGTCATCTACTATGGCTAGCGGAGCATGCAGTTTGACAACAGACCAAGGGTTACTTGCTAATAAAGCTATGCAGTACTTAGGTAACAAAGAGTATGATTCTGCTAGAGACCCTCTAATCATATCAATGGCCTTTAGACGGGCTCTATGTGTCTTCCTCCACGAAACTTCTATTCCATACAACCGCCTGATTTCAACAACGAGTACATGT